AAAAAAAAAAAAATTCTCTTAGCATTTTTAATAGACTTTTTATACTTTTTAAAGTTCTGATCTTTAAAATTTTAAATATTTATAGCGTATACCAATAGAATGGGCTGAGTGAAAAAAAAAAAGAAGGATGGAAAAAAGAAAGGACAAGAATATTAGTTGTTAGCTGCAGTTACAGGGAGGCAGTTCACATTTAGACCGTTAATTTAGACAGTCACTTAAGCTGTCTTTTAGTTCTATTAGAAGTAAGTAATAACGGCGAAGACCTGTTCAAGCCAAATCTTTCAGTTAGCATTCATTCTTCTTTTTTTGCCCAAAAACTTCTTCTACATAGTGTTCATTGTAAAAAGTCTTTGAATGTAGAGAGCAACAAACAGTTCTAACATTGTCAATTTGCTGATCACTTGGTGCATTAATTCTAGCCAGGAGATTAGTTTTGATTCTATCAACTAACCTCTTGTTCAACTTTTAGCTGCTCTATATCAGCCTTTCATAAATGTCAAAAGATTCTTTGGGTAATTTTTCTTCTTTTTTCTTGTTTCTTTTTTTTTTTTTTTTAAAGACGATTGAACGTGTATAAATGACCAAATTCAGTTTATGAGTTGCAGTTAATTTCAAAAAATGGTGTAACTGGCATATATTCGATCCACGTTTAAACATCTCATTTTTGAGGTTGCGTATGAAATTTTTTTGCGTGACTGATTGAAAAATTTTTGAATAAAGTTTTCTAAGTGCTGAAACATAGTAATCTTCTCTGACAGTGAGTATAGTATAAGTTTGCTAATGATGAACATTTCAAGTATTAGTTACTTATTGAATTATTCATTTTGAGCTTTAAAAAAATGAGGCAGATATACAACAGGTTGCTGAATTTTTGTAAAGAGGAAGTTATTTGTTCTCCTCATCTAATGCGATAGACTGGTTGCTAAGTTTCACGTAGGAGAAAGCTGATCGCTATGAAGCTGATCTGATCGTTGTCTCAAAGCACTATTTTTGTTGTATAGAATCTAGCGTTGCAATTAGAACAAG